AAACGGGGTTTCACCATGTTGACCAGGATGGTCTCGATCTCTTGACCTTGTGATCCACCCGCCTCGGCCTCCCAAAGTGCTGGGATTACAGGCTTGAGCCACCGCGCCCAGCTACTTTTTTCTTTTCTTTTTTTTTTTGAGACAGTGTCTTGCTCTGTCACTCAGGCTGGAGTGCAGTGGCATAATCTTGGCTCACTGCAAACTCCACCTCCCAGGTTCAAGTGATTCTCCTGCCTCAGCCTTTCATTAGCTGATTTTTGTATTCTTAGTAGAGACAGGGTTTTGCCATGTTGGCCAGGCTGGTCTCCAATTCCTGACCTCAGATGATCTGCCCACCTCAGCCTCCCAAAGTGCTGGGATTACAAGCGTGGGCTACCATGCCTGGCTGATTTTTTTTTTTTTTTTTTTTTTTTGTATTTTGCTTGTAACTTCTCAATGTCTCATGAGAAGTTACTTGAGATCTTGTGTGTAAACAAGACTCCCTGTAATGAATACACCTGTCCTGTGCCAGGTTGCCTGGGGCATCCTCCGTGAGGGTATAGAAATCCCAGCTGCCTGGGAGTGGGGCCTGGTCATCTTTTGAGTTCCCCGTGGGCCCCTGTCTGTGCCTGCCTGAGCTGGAGAAGACCCAAGACCAGAAGGGAAGTTCTCAGTTTGGGCCTTGGAGGGTTTTAGTTTCTCTTCCTCCTCCTTCTCCTTCTGGGAATTTTTTTCAGCACATTCAGAAAGGCCAAAGTCGACAAAAACACTCTGGGTGGCTCTCCCTGGTGACTTCCACCCTGGAGAGAGCCCTAGGAAGCAGCAGCTTGCCCAGGCCCAGGCCTGAAGTTCTTTTTTTGTGCTGTGTTTTGAAGGCATTTGATGCTGAGCTGGCCGCTGCAGAATGAACCACAGCTCTGAGAAGGGGAAGTAGGAACAGCTGGCACCCTGCCATGGCCTGTGAACCACAGGTGGACCTGGGGGCCGCTGGCCCGTTGCCTCCCTCCTCCCCTGGCTGGAGTGCCCTGCCTGGAGGGAGCCCTCCTGGCTGGGGGCAAGGTAAGGTCACCACCTTTCTTTTTCCACCCCCTTTCTACCTCATGCTGAGCTGGACCCACAGGGAGTAAAAGCTCCTTTAGATAAGGTCGGGGGAGGTGTCTTTGAGATACAGCTGTATGCCACGTTCCGTCATTTTTACCAGTTCTCGCTCTTGGCCGTAGACCAAGCCACCATCACCCTCTGCTGAGCCCCTGCTGTAGCTTGCTTGTTGGTCTTCTCTTTTCCATCCATTCTCTACATAGCAGCAAGAGAGCTTTTTATTATTTATTTATATTTCTAATTTATTTTTATTTATTTAGAGACAGGGGCTTGCTTTGCCACCCTGGCTGGAGTGCAGTGGTGTGATCATAGCTCACTGCAGCCTTGAACTCCTGGGCTCAAGCAGTCCTCCCACAGCCCCCTGACTAGCTGGGATTACAGGCCTGCACCACCACATCCTGCTAATTAAAAAATCTTTTTTGTAGATATGGGGCCTTACTTTGTTGCCCAGGCTGGTCTCAGACTCCTGGCCTCAAGCAGTCCTCCTGCTTTGGCCTCTGAAAATGCTAGGGTTACAGGAATGGGGCCCAGAGACCTTTTTTTTTTTTGAGATGAAGTCTCACTCTGTTGCCCAGGCTGAGTGCAGTGGCATGATCTTAGCTCACTGCAAACTCCACCTTTCAAGTTCAAGCAATTCTCCTGCCTCAGCTCCCCAAGTAGCTGGGATTACAGGCACCTACTACCACACCTAGCTAAATTTTTGTATTTTTAGTAGAGATGGGGTTTCACCATGTTGAGCGGACTGGCCTCAAACTTCTGACCTCAGGTGATCTGCCCACCTTGGCCACCCAAAGTGCTGGGATTACAGGTGTGAGCCACCACACCTGGCCCAAGAGATATTTTTAAAATACACATTCAGTCCAACCATGTCACTTTCTGCTTCGTGTTTCCCATTGGGCTTAGTGTGAAGACCCATCAGTATTGGCTTGCAAGGCCTACCTTCATGTTCTTTGCTGTGCTGTTCTGCCTCAGCACCTTTGCACCTGCTGTTCCTTCTGCCTGTTGTGCTTTTTCCTTGCCTCCGTTCCCCTGATAAATTTCCATTAATCCACCAGACATGCTGGCTCACACCTGTAATCCCAGCACTTTGGCAAGCCAAAGCAGGTGGATCCCTTGAGGTCAGGAGTTCGAGACCAGCCTAGCCAACATGGTGAAACCCTGTCTTTACCAAAAATATGAAAATTAGCTGGATGTATTGGCGGGTGTCTGTAATACCAGCTACTAGGGAGGCCGAGGCAGGAGAATCACTTGAACCTGAGAGACAGGTTGCAGTGAGCTGAGATCACACCACTAGACTCCAGTTTGGGTGATAGAATAAGACTCTGTCTCAAAAAAAAAAAAAAAAAAAAAAAAAGAATTTTCATTCATCCTTCAGAACTCAGTTCCAATATCCCTTCCTTGAAGAATCTTGCTGGTGGCTCAGCCTGTCAGGACCTTCTGATATCTTCCTGTTTCTCCTCTAGCATTTATCATACTCGGTAAATAATTATCTTTGTATAAAGTCAAGTCTGGCTTCTTCACTAGAGTGTAAGCTCCCTGAAGGAAGGGGACTCCTCTCTTTTTCATCCCTGTATCTACAGTACCTAGCACAGGCCTTGGCCCATAGTTGATGCTCAATAAATATTTTGTTGAATGAATGAATTAATGAGTAGCCAGATATGGATAAAGGAGAAGAGCACCCAGAATTGTGGGTGTCTACAGGAATGTGGAGGGTTTTTTGGAGGTTTTGAAATTTGACTGCTTAAAAACAAAGTCTTCTTTTATTACTACGATTGTTAGGAAAACAATGTGTGGCCGGGCACGGTGGCTTAAACCTGTAATCTCAGCACTTTGGGAGGCCAAAGCAGGCAGGTCACCTGAGGTCGGGAGTTCAAGACCAGCCTGACCAACATGGTGAAACCCTGTCTTTATATATTAAAAAAAAAGGAAAACAATATATATGTTTGTGTGTGTGTGTGTGTGTGTGTGTGTGTGTGTGTGTATATATATATATACATATATATGTGTGTGTGTGTACATATATACACACAAACATATATATACACACACATTGTTTTCCTTTTTTTATAAATATGTGTGTGTGTGTATATATATATGCACACATATATATGTAAGGTAAGCAGTGTGTACACATACACACACAATAGTAGAACAAGATGGAATGAAATAATTTTTCCGTCAGAACTTCGAAGACATTGCTCCACTGATTTTTGGCACGTCAGTTCTTGTTCCTCTGTAGGAAACTGCCCCCCCCGCATGTGCGTGCAAACACACACACACACACACACAAACACAGACACACACATTTTTCTTTCGTAGCTTTGCTTAGCGAAGATGTAAAAGCAAGTATTTTTAAGTGGAGGACTTGCTGTTCTCACTTTAAGGAACAGATGAGAGCTGGTATTGCCAAGAATCTAGGAACTCTTGGTTTGAAAGGCAAATGAAGACATCCTGAAAGCTCTTTGCATTGCTTGGGCAAACACATAACTCAGTGTACAACGAACTAGACCTGGGAATGGTTCCGATTCTCCATGTGTGGAGTCCAAATCAAAGTGGGGTTTTCATTCTTGCTGTGAAGGGGAGAGCTGGTCTCAGACCGGATCTGCTTGACTGCCTGCATTTTGTACACTACCTTCCTTTCTCGCTTCTTGTTCTCACTTTCATTTTCCTTGTGCACAAGGGAGTTTCTTTGCTTTTCGAAGGCTCAGTTTTCTTTTCCATGCTGATGGTACCCAGCTTTGGGGGGCTCTTGGAGGATGAATTGAAATCATGAATGAAGCTCAAGCGTCGTATCTGACACTTAGTAAAGGGCTCCATACCCAGAACCTGTTCTTATTGCCTTTCTTTTTGTTTTGTCTGGTTTTCCCCATTTGCTTATTATAAAGTTTATTTTTAGGCTCTGCACATTGGCTTATACCTGTAATCCCAGTACTCTGGGAGGCCTAGGTGGGTGGATTACCTGAGGTCAGCAGTTTGAGACCAGCCTGGCCAACATGGTGAACCCTGTCTCTACTAAAAAGACAAAAATTAGCTGGGTGTGGTGGTGTGCACCTGTAATCCCAGCTACCAGGGAGGCTGAGGAAGGAGAATTGCCTGACCTTGGGAGGTGGAGGTTGCAGTGAGCTGAGATTATGCCAATGAACTTCAGCCTAGGTGACAAGAGCAAAAATCCAAGTCAAAAAAAATTGTTTTTATAGTTTTAGTTACTTACTTATTTTTTTGAGACAGGATCTCACTCTGCTGTCCAGGCTGGAATGTAGTGGCATGATTTTGGCTTACTATAGCCTTGACTTCCCAGGCTCAGGTGATCCTCCCACCCCAGCCTCCCAAGTAGCTGGGACTACAGGCACGTGCCACCATGTCTGGCTTTTTGTATTTTTTTGTAGAGACAGGGTTTTTCGCCATGTTGCCCAGGTTGGTCTCAAACTCCTGAGCTCAAATGATCCGCTTGCCTCAGTTTCTCAAAGTGCTGGGGCTACAGGCATGAGCCACCATGCCCAGCTAGTTTTATCTTTTCATATTTTACTTTTATGAAACCACCTTAAATCCCTTCTGGAACAAGATGTGGGAGGGTAAAAACACAAATAAATCAAGGTTGCTTGATTGTAACTTTTGAGTTGTGACAACTTGCTTTTAAATTATGAAAATAGCCAGTTATTTTGTACCCGTCTTGTGCTGAGCACTTTATTTTTTTTATTTTTTTTTTTGAGACGGAGTTTCTCTCTTGTTACCCAGGCTGGAGTGCAATGGCGCGATCTCGGCTCACCGCAACCTCCGCCTCCCGGGTTCAGGCAATTCTCCTGCCTCAGCCTCCTGAGTAGCTGGGATTACAGGCACGCGCCACCATGCCCAGCTAATTTTTTTTTTGTATTTTTAGTAGAGACGGGGTTTCACCATGTTGACCAGGATGGTCTCGATCTCTTGACCTTGTGATCCACCCGCCTCGGCCTCCCACAGTGCTGGGATTACAGGCTTGAGCCACCGCGCCCGGCTATTTTTATCATCTTAATTATTTGTAAAGTCCTCTGCAGTGGATGTGCATCCTCTAAGCGAGGGAACAGGCTCACAGGTTCAAGTTGCTTCCTCAACTTACCATGTTAGTGAGAGGCTGAGCTCCAATTTGAACCCCAAAACTATCTAGCTTATATTTTCACCACCTGACCACCTGGCGTCCTCATCTCCCCCACCACTTCCAAAAAAAAAGAGAGAGAGAGAAACACAAAATAAAGTTCTTTTTGGCAGGATGTAGAATTGAGAATTCTGTGGAACCCTTGAGATCATAGATGATATCCCAGTGTATCAAAAAAGAACCTTTTACTCTCTGGCTGCAGTGGCTCAGGCCTATAATCGCAGCACTTTAGGAGGCTGAGATGGGAGGATCGCTTGAACCCAGGAATTTGAGAGCAGCCTGAGTGATTTAGTGACTTTGTCTTTACAAAATAAAATTTTTTTTAAAAAAGGCCAGGTGTGATGGCTCACGCCTGTAATCCCAGCACTTTGGGAGGCTGAGGCTAGTGGATCACTTGAGGTTGGGAGTTCAAGACCAGCCTGACCAACATGGAAAAACCCTGTCTCTACTAAAAATACAAAAAAAAAAAAAAATTAGCTGGGTGTGGTGATGCATGCCTGTAATTTCACTACTTGGGAGGCTGAGGCAGGAGAATCGATTGAACCCGGCAGGTGGAGGTTGCCGTGAGCTGAGATCACGCCATTGCACTCCAGCCTGGACAACAAAAACAAAACTTTGTCTCTCTCTCTCTCTATATATATATATATTAGCTGAGTGTGGTGTTGCATGCCTATGATCCCAGCTACTTGGGAGGCTGAAGTGGGAGGATTGCTTGAGCCTTGGGAAGTGGAGGTTGCAGTGAGACATATAGTGCCCCTGCACTCTAGCCTGGGTGACAGAGTGAGACACTGTCTCAAAACAAAACAAAACAAAACAAAACAAAACAAAACTCTTCCTACCTTATTCATTCATTTATACACCAAACATGTATTTAATGTCTCCTGTTAGTATCAGATCGGGGGATTCAGTGACTAACAGAGCAGTGTGGGAGTGTGTAGTCTGGTGGAGAAGATAGATTTTATTCAAATAACTGCATGCATATGTAATCAAATAATTGCAAACATAGGTATTTCGCTTTGGTGACTATTAAGAAGAAGAGCATTCAGTTATAGGTTTAGCAGAGGATTTGATCAGTTAGGAGTTTAGAGTGTCAGGGAGGTCTCTCTGGGGAAAGTGAATCATGGGCTGAGGTACAAATGATCCATGGGCCGTAACTGGGTGAAGCTAGGTAGATGCGTTCTAGGGAGAGGCACAGCATGTGCAAAGGGCTGGGGGTGGAGGAGGACATGTGTTCAGGAAGTGAAGGAGGCTGGTGTGGTGAGACACAGAACGAGGCTGAGGGTCTCAAGGTGAGTCTGGCAGGAGGCTAGTTTTCCTCAGGGCTGGAAGAATGTGGTAACAAGGTTGGCTTTTGCAAAGCACCCGGAAGCTATTGAAAGTTTTACTCAAGGCATTGGTATCATCTGCTCTGCACCCTGGCCACTGTGTGGAAGAGGCATCATAGAAGTAAAGGTTTGCAGAAGCCACTTAGGAGGCTACCGCAGAGGGCCAAGGGAGAGGTGAGGATGCCACGAGGGCACAGAGTGGACAGATGTTTTGTTTGCCCAGTGGGCAGGGCTTGGTGATGCACTGGGGGAGAGGGGAGAAAGAGGGTTTGGATGGGCCAGGAATTTCCAGGAAGGTAGAGTGAGTCATTTGGCTTTGAAGACTCAAGTACTGTTCAGAGCTAGACTAGGGTGACAGCAGTTCTGGGCCAGCAGACAACACACTTACGCTTGAATCCTTTCAGTCCTGCCTCATTGTCTAAGCAGCAACCACAGAGAAGATGGCAAAATCTCCATTCGTCCGCAGTGTGTGGCTGAAACCTGGGATCCTAGAATCCCAGGGCTGGAATCTCTCCCACCCCCCCAGACCTCCTGGCTACTGACCAGTGGCTCACGGGGCCTTGTACTGTGGCGCAAGGAGATCTCGATCCATTTGTCCAGTTTCTCTACTTGGAACTGCAGGCAGGCAGGTTTGGCCTTGTACTGCTGCAATTCCTCACTGGGCCTGAGGGGATTTCAGTCCAGACCTTTCTCTCCAGCTGGTCTCATGGTCTGACTTCATCCCACCCTTGGAAGACAGGATATATGGTAGCTGTTGTGAGCAGCCTGGGTTGATGCATGTTTTTTGAGGGAATAAACATGTAATTTATGCTTTTGAAATGCTGAGTGAGTTGCAGCTATATGTAGGCGGGATTACCAATAAGTCAGTGTATTAGTTTTCTATTGCTGCTTTAACAAGTTACCGCTAACATAGTGGCTTAAAAAGCCATGGATTTGGGCCAGGTGCAGTGGCTCACGCCCGTAATCCCAGCACTTTGGGAGGCCGAGGCAGGCAGATAACATGAAGCCAGGAGCTCGAGACAGCCTGGCCAACATGGGGAAACCACGTCTCTACTGAAGTATAAAAATTAGCCCAGCATGGTGGCACGTGCCTGTAGTCCCTGCTACTTGAGAGGCTTGGAAGAATTGCTACAAGAATTGCTTGAACCTGGAAGGTGGAAGTTGCAGTGAGCTAAGTTTCTGCTGCTGCACTCCTGCCTGAGTGACAGAGAGAGACTCTGTCTCCAAACAAACAAACAAACAAAACTCACCACGGATTTGTTATTGATTGATTGATTGATTGATTGAGATGGAGTTTTGCTCTTGTTGCCCAGGCTGGAGAACAATGGTGTGATCTCAGCTCACTGCAACCTCTGCCTCCCAGGTTCAAGCAATTCTCCTGCCTCAGCCTCCCAAGTAGCTGGGATTACAGGCGCCCACTACCACACCTGGTTAATTTTTATATTTTTAGTAGAGATGGGGTTTCATCATGTTGGCCAGGCTGGTCTTGAACTCCTGACCTCAGGTGATCCACCTGCCTCGGCCTCCTAAAGTGCTGGGATTACAGGCATGAACCACTGTGCCGAGCTGGATTTCTTATTTTATAGTTCTGTAAGTTAGAAATCTGACACTGATCTCACTGAGCCGAAACCCCCAAGTTGCCAGGACTGTGTTTCCTTCTAGAGGCTCTGAGGAAAATCCGTTTCCTTTCCTTGTCCAGCTCCCTGGGGCCACCCACATTCCTTGGCTTGTGGGCCTCTCCTGCCATGGTCAAAGTGAGCGATGCCACATCCCTCTGTACCTTTCATCCATAGTCACGTCTCCCTCTGACTCTACCTCTGTCCTCCTCTTCCATGTTTAAGGTTCCTTGTGATTTCTTGGGGCCCACCCTGATGATTCAGGGTAGTCTCCCTGTTAAGGGCCAGCTCATGAGCCCCTGTACTTCCATAGCTATGGAAGACAGCATATTTGCAGGCTCTGGGGATTGGGGTGTGAATGTCTCTGGGGCCGTTGTTCTCCTGCCTCAGCCTCCTGAGTAGCTGGGATTACAGGCGCATGCCACCACGCCTGGCTAATTTTTGTAGTTTTTTGTTTTTTGTTTTTTTTGAGACGGAGTTTCACTCTTGTTACCCAGGCTGGAGTGCAATGGCGCGATCTCGGCTCACCGCAACCTCCGCCTCCTAGGTTCAGGCAATTCTCCTGCCTCAGCCTCCTGAGTAGCTGGGATTATAGGCACGTGCCACCATGCCCAGCTAATGTTTTGTATTTTTAGTAGAGACGGGGTTTCACCATGTTGACTAGGATGGTCTCGATCTCTTGAACTTGTGATCCACCCGCCTTGGCCTCCCAAAGTGCTGGTGTTACAGGCTTGAGCCACCGCGCCCGGCAATTTTTGTAGCTTTAGTAGAGACGGGGTTTCACCATGTTGGCCAGGATGGTCTCAAACTTCTGACCTCACGATCTGCCTTCCTTGGCCTCCCAAAGTGATGGAATTACAGGCATGAGCCACTGCACCTGGCTTTTTTTTTTGGCAGAGCGTTGCTCTGTTACCCAGGCTGGAGTGTAGTTGTGTAATCTGGGCTCACTGCCGCCTCAGCCTCCTGGGCTTGGTTATTTCTTACTTAGACTCTCTGAGCCTACTGGGAATTTAACTTATTCAGCTGAGCATCCTTTGCAGTGTTTAAATAAAGGTCCACCCCTCAGTGTAGTTAGCTGTTCAGTCTCTGTTTAAATGTTCCTTGTGTTGGGGAACATTTTTTGGGGGGACAAAAAATGCCCATTCTTTATGGGGACAGCTTTTGCTCTTGGGAAGTTCGTCCTTACATGGTCTCACATTGCGGCCCTAGTAGCCTCCTCTCTCTGGCCTTCTTTCTGCCTCCTGGGGGCTTCCCAATCAAATCCGGTCCTTTTCCCAAGGGGATTTGAGGATGGCCACTGTGTCCCTCCTTGTTTCAAGGGGGTTCTCGCAGCCAGAGGCGTGATGCCATCGGGCTTTGGGCTCACCCCGAAAGCCCAGTATGGTTATCAGTCAGCCAGATGAAGCTTCTGGTCTGCTTCCAGAGCTCCACAATGGCCAGGTCCTCACTGTTCTCCGGATCGACAACACCTGTGCACCCATCGCCTTCGATCTGGGAGCCGCAGAAGAGCAACTGCAAACCTGGGGCATCCACGTGAGTGCCGATTTCCTTGAATCCCTACCGTTTTCCCTTTCATCCATTCGTCCATCTATCTTTTCATCTAGTTAGTCACAAAATCTTTAGGAAACACTCTGTGCTAGCTGTGGTAGGGTATTTAAGGAAGGTGGATTAGAACTGCCCTCTCTTTCCTCCCTTCCCAATTAATTCACTAAACAAATGTGTATTTTTTTGGGTGCCCATTCTGTACCAGGCACTTAACTGGCTAAACATAATAGAGGTGGACAGGACATAGTACCTATCCCCATAGGTCCCAGTGGGGGAGATGGACATGTATTGGAGAAATCAGGACAGTATGATATCAATGCCACAGCAGAGGAATGCACAGGCATTGAAGACATTCACAGGAGAAAATGAGAAACTTTCTTATGGGGAAGTAGGCAGTGGTTATGAAAGCTTTGCAGAGGAGCAGATGCTTGATCTGGGGTCTTTTTTTTTTTTTTTTTTTTTTTTTTTTTTGAGACGGAGTTTCGCTCTTGTTACCCAGGCTGGAGTGCAATGGTGCGATCTCGGCTCACCGCAACCTCCGTCTCCTGGGTTCAGGCAATTCTCCTGCCTCAGCCTCCTGAGTAGCTGGGATTACAGGCACGCGCCACCATGCCCAGCTAATTTTTTGTATATTTAGTAGAGACGGGGTTTCACCATGTTGACCAGGATGGTCTCGATCTCTTGACCTCGTGATCCACCCGCCTCGGCCTCCCAAAGTGCTGGGATTACAGGCTTGAGCCACCGTGCCCGGCCTCTGGGGTCTTGAATAAATAGGAATATGCTGGGTGGACAGAAGGACGCGCATTTTAGGAGAGGGAACTGCATATGCATGGGAAAGTGTACATGAATTCATTAGATAATGATGCAGCACCTTTGAGCACAGTGATCTGAGGCCAGGCTTCACAGATCCATGGAACTGGGTGCAAATCTAGCTCCGGTGCTCACTGCCTGTGTGACTTTGGGAAGGTGACTTAACCTCTCTGAACCTCAGTTGTATCATCTGTAAGTGTGGATAATATTGATACCTATTACATAAGGTTTTTGTTAGGATTCAATGCAATAATGCTTGAGGAATCCTCGCATTGTCTCTAGCATGTAGTAAATGCTCAATATATTGTAGCTATTACTGTTATAAAGTACCTATATGTATGGTTTTTACTCTCTTCTCAAAGCCCCCAACATGATCAGGCCTTTCCTGTGCTAGCGAAGGAAGATTAATTAGGACTAGGGAAGACACACTGCTAATTTTAGCCTGAAGATTTTAAAATTTACTTCTTCTTTTTTTTTTTTTTTTTTTGAGAGGGAGTCTTGTTCTGTTCCCCAGGTTTGAGTGCAGTGGCGTGATCTCTGCTCACTGCAACCTCCACCTCCCAGGTTTAAGCGATTCTCCTGCCTCAGCCTCCTGAGTAGCCGGGTTTACAGGAGCGTGCCACCACACCCAGCTAATTTTTGTATTTTTAGTAGAGATGGGGTTTCACCATGTTGGCCAGGATGGTCTCAAACTCCTGACCTTGTGATCCGCCTGTCTTAGCCTCTCAAAGTGCTGGAACTACAAGCATGAGCCACCACACCTGGCCATTATTTTTTTTGAGACAGAGTGTTGTTCTGTTGCCCAGGCTGGAGTGTAGTTGTATAATCTGGGCTCACTGCCACCTCAGCCTCCTGGGTTCAAGTGATTCTCATGCCTCAGTCTCCCTAGTAGCTGGAACTACAAGCATGTACCACAGCTGGCTAATTTTTGTATTTTTATAGGGATGAGATTTCACCGTGTTGGCCAGCTTGGTCTCGAACTCCTGACTTCAAGTGATTCACCCGCCTTGGCCTCCCAGAGTGCTAGGATGACAGGTGTGACCCACTGCGCCTGGCAGACTGCGTTGTTTTTAATGGATGAACAGTTTACATATTGTTCTACTGTGTTCCTAAATATAATTTTTTTTTCTTTTTTATAAAAAGAGACAGGGTCTCGCTATGTTGCCCAGGCTGGCCTTGAACTCCTAGGCTCAAACAATCTGCCTGCCTCGGCCTCCCAAAGTGCTGGGATTACAGGCGTGAGACACTGCGCCTGGCCTAAACATAACTTTTAATGGTTAAGTTCTGTTTTCTTAGGACTACTCTCACAGGGCCTTTATATTCTATAGACATTTTTGTTTGGGCAGGAAGATGTGATTGTTCAGTCTTTTGGACTGCATTAATAGATACTGATATTGCAGTATTGATAATGGCATCTGTATATTGAGTGTTCACTAAGAGACTGGCCCTTTGCCCAGCACTGTACATGTATTATCTCATTTAATATGTACCTTAGTTCTACAAGGTGGGTACTTTTATCCTTATTTTACAGAGGAGAAAGCTGAGGCTCAGAGGAGTAGGGTTACTTGCTCCAGGTCACACAGCACATGAATGTGAGGTCCAGAGTTTGGGCTCAGGGCTGTCTGACTCCAGGGCCTATGCCTTAACTGTCAGGCTATGCTGTGTCTGCTGTGAGGTACTGAGTCTGAGGCTGTGTGGATCCTTCTCCAGATGTCGTGATGGTTGTTCTTCCCTGAGCTGAGAGCTGCACCGTGTGACTTCCACCCAGTGCTCCAAGCTCCTCATTCTGCCTTTCGGGACAGCCCAGAATGTGCCTAATCCCCCTTCCACTTGATAGTCACATGAACTGGAAACAGCATGCTTGCTATCAGCTAGGAAGTGGGGACTGGCTCTCCTGTAGCTGACTGATCTCTTTCCCTGGGTTCCAAGCAGGTCCCAGCCGACCAGTACAGAAGCTTGGCAGAGAGTGCCCTCTTGGAGCCCCAAGTGAGAAGATACATCATCTACAACTCAAGGCCTATGCGGCTGGCCTTTGCTGTGGTAAGGGGGAGGTGGCCCGCGCCCTGCCCCTGCCCTGGCGCCTTGTGGCACTACCAAGTTCAGCATTGTGTCTTGCAGCCTGTTGGTATGGGTCAGGAGTTTGGCGGCTGGTGGCCCAGGTGTCTGGAAAAGAACAGTACATATGGACATTGATTTGGGATCAGAGGAAATTTATGGGAGAGAGTTGTAACCAGGTCCTTGCATAAAGGATGAGGGTCAGGGTTTACTGTGGGACAGAGCTTGGGATTGGGAGTCTGCAGATCCACCCAGGCCCTGGGCTCAATGTCTGGTCTTGGCCAAGACTTTCCTCCTCTCCTGAACTTGGTTTCCCCATCTGCTCAACAGATGGGTCTATTTCAGCTCTAGTCGTATATACGTGTGCATATACATGTGTGTATACACATACATATACATATATAAATATACGTATACCTCTTCATATTTGTATATAAACTTACATACATAAATGACAGAGGCAGGTTTTGAACCCAGGTAGTCTGGTTTCCAGCACCTGTGCTTGGAACCACTATGATTTGCTGCTTTGTATGTGTAAATGGCCAAATAGCACACCTGACTCCATGTCCCACTTCCAGGGAGAAGGGAAGGGGTAGGAACCAGCATTGATTCATTCCCTGGCAAGTGCTGGGCTGTTACTTATGTTACCTTGTTAACCCTTATTATAATGCTGTGAAATAGGTGTTATTATCCCCATTATACAGATGAAGAACTGAGACTGAGAGGAGTTATAAATTGTCCAAAGCCGTATAGTATTTGAAGGATCATTGTGGTCTTTGAACAGAAATTTGTCTCACTTCAGTCCACCTGCCTTTTTCTGTTTTATTTAAAATTAAGGTAAACAAGGATTAGGAGTAGCTACTAATCCTTCTTGTCTAATTTTGCTTATAACCAGTGAAATTGAGCTCATTCTCACAGACCCAGGGATCTGCATCAATCTCTTACTGGTGCTGTGAGCTGTCTGAATTCAAGGAGGGTATCAGCAGTGTCTGAAGGGTGTCCCTTTGAATGGAGCTGCTTTATGTGAGGATTGGAGTTCCTGACCATGCTCTCTCTGTGGCGTCTTGCAGGTTTTCTACGTGGTGGTGTGGGCCAATATCTACTCCACCAGCCAAATGTTTGCCTTGGGGAACCACTGGGCTGGCATGCTGCTCGTGACGCTGGCCGCAGTGAGCCTGACCTTGACTCTTGTGCTGGTCTTTGAGAGACACCAGAAGAAGGTGAGACATCTGGAGACCCCTGCCATGCTTCCTCCAGAAGGGTGGTGGAGGCATGAGAATCAGATTTTTCTCTTTTACCTGCCTCAAAGAATTTCCCTAGCCATGAAAATTCACACTAGCCCGTAAGCCCAGTGACTAAAAGAAATCACATCCTCTCTGCTTTTCCTGTCTGATCCCTGTGGATTGTTTTTCTGGAAGCAAGCTGTGTTTTGAGAATGTGGGAGGAGGGCTCTAATAGCCCGTATCCTGACAGTACTTTAGTTAACTGAACTCTTTCATGCACTTCCTCTTCCTGGGTGCTCAGGACAACCCTGTGGGCAAGGGAGAATTGGTTACTGAACCCCAGCTGCAGCACAGCATGCCTGAAGTTGAAGTCTGGGAAGAAGCAATTTACATTATTCCCTCCTGTGATGGGCAGATGCTGGCCTCGTGCTCTATTGACAATCATGTCTTTAATCCCAGCAGTGACCTTTGAGGCAGAGTGAGTGGTTACTTGTCCTGAATCCCAATGTTAGTGACAGAGCCAGGATTCAAAGCCTGAGCCCTCTGATTCCTGATCATGTTCAGAAAGGAGGCAGATACTTCCCGGCTTATGTATGATTTTAATTGTATTCCGTCTCTTCATTGTCTGCCTTTTGATATGTATTGAGCACATCATATGTCCCCCGCTAAATGTTTAACACATTAACTCATTAAATCCCTTGACATTAAATCTGGGTAGAGGCTCTTACGCTTATTTTGCAGTCGAGGAACACTAGACTCAGAAATGCTCAAAGAGTAGCCCCAGCCATGCTACGAATAAATGCCAGAGTTGGAAATCAAGGCCAGGGCCTCAGATTCAAGCCACGTTCTTAGCCAGCACCCTTTAGAAAATTGTCGGTTTGGCCGGGTGCAGTGGCTCATGCCTGTGATCCCAGCACTTTGGGAGGCTGAGGCAGATGGATCCTGAGGTTAGGAGTTCAAGACCAGTCTGACCAACATGGTGAAACCCCGTCTCTACTAAAAATACAAAAAAAAGATGAGCCAGGTGTGGTGGTGCATGTCTGTAATCCCAGCTACTCCGGAGGCTGAGGCAGGAGAATCACTTGAAACCACGAGGCAGAGGTTGCAGTGAGCTGAGATCGAGCCACTGTACTCCAGCCTGGGTGACAGAGTGAGACTCTGTCTCAAAAAAAAAAAAAAAAGAAAAAAAAAGAAAACTGTTGGTTTACTATAGCTACTGTAATAAATTACCATGAACCTGGTGGCTTAAAACAATACCAAACTGTTATCTTCCCGTTCTGTAGGTTAGATAGGTGACATAGTTCTCACTGGGCTAAAAGTCGAGTGCAGGCAGGGCTGCTTCCTTCTGAGGCCTCTGGGGGAGAATCTGCTTTCTTGCCTTTGTAGCTTCTGGTGGTCCTCTGCATTCCTTGGCTTGTGGCCCCTTTCTCTATCTTCAGAGCCAGCAATGGCGGACCCAGTCTTATTCACATCTCCTTCTCTGACTCTTTTGGTTTCCTCTTCTACTTTTTTTTTTTTTTAGGTGGAGTCTCGCTCAGTCAGCCAGGATGGAGTGCGGTGGCGCGATTTCGGCTCACTGCAACCTCCACCTCCTGGGTTCAAGCGATTCTCCTGCCTCAGCCTCCCAAGTAGCTGGGACTACAGGCATGCACCTCTACACCTGGCTGATTTTTATAATTTTAGTAGAGACGGGGTTTCACTGTGTTAGCCAGGATGGTCTCGATCTCCTGACCTCATGATCCGCCTGCCTTGGCCTCTGAAAGTGCTGGGATTACAGGTGTGAGCCACTGTACCTGGCCCCTCTTCTACTTTTAAGGACCCCTGTGGTTACATTGGGCCAACCGGATAATCTGAGATCATCTCCTATTTTTAAGGGCAACTGAGTAACAACATTGATTTCATTGACAGCTTTAATTTTCCTTTGCCATGTAGCAACATACGCTTGGGTTCTGGGGAATAGGACTTAGACATCTTCGGGGACCATTTTTCTGCTACCACACCTATGCTGTCTTTCCACCTACTTGGGAAGCTCCTGTTCCGGATCCCCTGATCGCTGGCGCAGTGCTGGCCTCTGAGATCCTGAGCAAACACTCCGCTCTTGCGTGACTCAGCGGGGAGGGCAGGATGTTGGGAAATGTAAATCAGCATTTGGGGCATGAGTTCTACTTAGCGCCTGTGTTCATGGAGACAAATGGGAACTTTATGGTATACTCATTCTGAAAGGATCTTTGTTGGGCTTTGCCACGGGACTGACAAAATAATTCTGCTCTTGGGGCCTGTTGAAGCTTTCATGGCCCTTGTGTTTGGTCTATGAAAAATAAATTGGGCTGGCCACTCCTGCAGCAAGAACTTTCTCTTGGGAAGGGGATGAAGCAAAGTGTTTTGTTTCAGCAGGAGCAAGCAAAAAAATTGGCACCTGACAGGTGCTTCGAGGATGTGGATATAATTCATACGGTAAAGGGAGGGCCTGCTTTGGCTCTCTGTCTCTGTCTCTTCTTTCCTCCTTTTATTCAGCTGGTATTTATGAAGCCCTTGAGAGTACCAGGATATGCCTTGTCCAGGGCCACACAGCCAGGAGACACCAGAGCTAGTCTTTGGCCCAGGAGTGACATTATTGAATTTATTGTTCCAACAATATCTATCTATCTATATGTATGTATGTATGTATGTATCTATCTATCTATCTATTTATCTATCTATCTATCCGTCTATATATGTATGTATCTATCTGTCTGTCCGTCCATCCATGCATCTATCTATCTATCCATCCATCCACCCATTCATCTATGTATGCATCTATCTATCTATCTATCTATCCGTCCATCCACCCATTCATCTATGTATGCATCTATCTATCTATCTATCTATCTATGAATACAGAGTCTTACTCTGTGCCAGGCACAGATCCTAGAAAATGAGCAAGAGCATGGTACAGCATGGAGGCCACAGGTGCATCCTGGCAATGCCATCATCACTGTCTGCTCATTTAGGAGACTCCTTTTTTCCTTCCTAGTAATGTCCATCACTTAATGAGCACCTATTGTGCGCTGTAAGCTTGGGGCTTCATGTCTGTACCCAACAACAGCCCTATACGGAGGCAGGATACCTCCACCATTTACTAGCTCTGCAACTTGGGGTAAGTTACTTAACCTATCAGGGCTTCAGTTTCCTCATCTAAAATTGAGATAATAGCTGTAGCTCCCTCATAGGGTTGTTGTGAGAATGAAATGACTTAGACACACAAAGTGTTTATAATAGTACCTAGTATAAAGTAAATGCTTTGTAAGTATTAACTGTTATCGACTCTGTTTGCCAGTGAGGAAGTGGAGGTTCAGAAAGGTTAAGTAACCAGTCTATGGCCACACAGCCCTTCTCAGGTCTTCGTTTGGGTCTCAGCTCCAGGACCGCCTGCTCCCTGGATCCCTTGTCACTCAGGACTGTGTAGATCCCCTCTTCCTGACCATTGTCACTTTTGACTGTTAGCATCCACTCTGTGTCACTTGGTGTCCTTAGGAGCCTCAATGTCCTGCATAACCGTCTTGTTTTCCCTTTGGTGCACTTTCTCAGGACTGAAAGGTTTGGGTCGGGCAGGGTGGCTCACATTTACAATCCCAGGAATTTGGGAGGCTGAGGTGGGAGGATCACTTGAGCCCAGGAGTTTGAGACCAGGCTGGGCAACATAGTGAGACCCTGTCTCTACAAAAAAATAAAAGCAGGATGCAGTGGCACATGCCCATAGTCCTAGGAGGCTGAGGTGGGAGGATTGCTTGAGCCTAGGAGTTCAAGGCTGCAGTGAGTTGTGATGGCACCACTGTACTCCAGCCTGGGTGACAGAGTGAGACCCTGCCTTAAAAAAATATATATTGGAAGGTTTGTAAAGGCAGGCAAGTCCCTGCCTTGTAGAGTATAGCACATTGCTAGGGTACGTGAGAAGTTCCAAGTTCCTACAAATATTTGTGGCTAATATGGCACAGTGAAACATGGTGCTTCCAATTCACTGTCATCCTCACCGTGATATTATCAGCTGACATGTGTTAAGTGTTCAATTCTTTCAATTATTCTACGTGGATTAACTCATTTCATCCTTATTATATCCCTCTGAGGTGGGGCTTTATTATCTCCATTTGGGGGTGAGGAGATAGATGGAGGCAGAGTGATGATTAGTAATTTGCCCAAGGTTACATGGGCAGTGAGAGATAGACTTAGGAATTGAGCTGTTGGGATATGGATTTCTAGAAGGAAGAACAGCCCTTACTACAGTTCGAGGCAAAACAAAATATAATTATTCCTTGATTTTCATAGTAGAAGCATTCCTGGAAAACTCAGTGTATGTTAAACTCATGCAAACAATCACTTTAAGTGGCTGGGCTTGGTGGTTCATGCCTGTAATCCCAGCACTTTGGGAGGCTGAGGTGGGAGAATTGCCTGAACCCAGGAGTTGGTGACCAGCCTGGGCAACACAGTGAGACCCCATCTCTACAAAATATTTAAAAGTTAGCCCGGTGTGATGGAATGCATATGTGGTCCCAGCTGCTTGGGAGGCTGAGGAAGGCCTCAGGAAGATCTCCTGAGCCCAGGAGGTCAAGGCTGCAGTGAGCCGTGATCGTACCAGTGCACTACAACCTCCGTGACGGAGTGAGACGAGGTCTTAAAAAAAAAAAAATCACTTTAGGTATAAATGTAAACTGGAGTTAGGTTGGCTGACCAGAGAATTCTAAGTAGATTTTTTTTACCTGCATATATGCTCAGTGGGGCATTTGGAGTCCAGGCAGCCCAGGGACAGTCTTCAACATGCAGAATGCTTTCTAATAGGACATGTCTTTCAGTGGAAGGCATGGTTTGGAGCCCCCCGCCCTCTTCCACTAAGTGCCTGCACTGTCCATCCCATCCCTGTGACAACCAACGGGTCCTTCTTGCCTTTCCAAAATACCTCTTTGGGGTGCTGCCCCTTTTGGGAACTATTATCCTTGGTTGGGCTGCTCTCTTCTAACTGCGTCTGAAAGTCTTGTGCTCACTTTCTCAAACCAGCATTTGGGGTCCCCTTGTTCCTCCTCTTCTCCCCCACCTGTTTAGTATTCACTTTCCCAGCTGAATGTGTGGCGTCCATTGGTTTGGGTGGGGGAGCAGAATACTGATTCCCAGAGCCCCTCCTGAGGGCCAGTGCTGTGTTAGGTACTTTAAAGTAGGTGCTTTCTAGATGGAGCGAGTGCTTCACTTACACAACAGATTTGATGTGTCAGCTCAGACAGATCGAACCCATTTGATCTTCCCTCTTCCGCAAATATCTTATGCACCTTGACCATAGTCCCAGGCCCTGGGTTAAGTGCATCACACACAATCTCAGCGAAATCTCACTCCATTCCTAGGAGACAGAGACATTCTTTTATTCTACAACTGAAGAAAATAAGTTTCAGGGAAGGGACATACCTTGTCCAGGGCCATATAGCCAGGAAGCAGCAGAGCTGGGCTTTATCCCAGGGCCTTCTGACACTATTGAGTTTACTGTTCCAATAGTCCCCATCTCATTTTATTTTTCTTTACTTCTTTTTTTTTTTTTTTTTTGAGACTGAGTTTTGCTCTGTCGCCAGGATGGAGTGCAGTGGCGTGATCTCGGCTCACTGCAACCTTCACCTCTCCGGTTCAAGTGATTCTCCTTCCTGAGCCTTCCAAGTAGCTGGGACTACAGGCATGCGCCACCACACCCAGCTAACTTTTGTATTTTTAGTAGAGTCAGGGTTTAACCATCTTATCCAGGATGGTCTCGATCTCCTGTCCTTGTGATCTGCCTGCCTCAGCCTCCCAAAGTGTTGGGATTACAGGCGTGAGCCACTGCACCCGGCCTGCTTTCCTTCTTTTTAAGAGATAGAGTCTCACTCTGTCACCTAGGCTGGAGTGCAGTGGTACAATCATAGCTTACTATAACCTCACACTCCTGGGCTCAAGTGATCCTCTTGCCTCACTCTCCCAAGTAGTTGGGGTTACAGTGCACGCTCCCACACCTAGCTAATTTTTAAACCATTTTTTATAGAGATGACATCTCACTACATTGTCCAGGCTGGGCTCAAACCTCTGGCCTCAAGAAATTCTCCTGCCTTAGTTTCCCAAAGCACTGGGATTACAGGCATGAGTCACTGTGCCTGCCTCCATCCCAACCCATTTAATAGGGGGGAAATGGAAGAAGCCTGAGGGTGGGGATTGTCCCTTGGCATTGGACAGTATGTTTCTACTGCTTAGAGCCCAGGAGCTCCCCAGTAGTATGGAGGTCCGGTCATGGGCCTGGCATTTGTCTTACAGGCCAACACCAACACAGACCTGAGGCTGGCAGCTGCCAATGGAGCCCTCCTGAGACACAGGGTGCTGCTGGGGGTGACAGACACAGTGGAAGGATGCCAGAGTGTGATTCAGGTACTGTGTCTCATAGTGAGCTCTTCCTCATGACCCAGTTTTATGTTGGGCTACATGGAGAGCAGTGGCCTTATGTTCTGTCAACCTGCACAGTGTCTGCACTAGTCTGCTAATGAATAAATGGCTATTGGCAGCCCTTTCCTTCCTCCCTGCCCCGGTGTTTCTTCCTCGAGACACCTTCTCTGTGCAGTAACCAGTGGCCTGGAACCTCCACGTGGCAGGGCTGAAAGGGAAGCGCAGATAATATCCAAACCTTGCTGGCCACCTGGCATTTACTCAGCAGACAGATGGAGCCTCCTCTGCGCTGTGCCCTCGGTTCGACACTGACGACACTGAGGGGCCCATGCAAGGTCCCTGTCCTGCCAGAGGATGACAGGCACACAGTGAGATAGTCAATAGTAGCCTCTCCAGCCTTATAGCAAAGGGACAGCCCCTGACAAGGCTGAGAGGCAAAGTACACAGGGTCCCTTTGAAGGGCTGCATGGAGCTCACCATGGCTGGGGCTATGTCAGAGTGACACAACGGGGAGAGATGAGGCCAGAGAGGCAGATCAGACGCTGAAGGCCTTGTCTGCCTGGTTTGGTCGTTCTCTTTGCCCCGAAGGTTGTGGGGAGATCTGAAAGTGACTAGTATGGAGTCGCAGGGTGGGTCGGAACACAGGCCAGATCTGCTGATCCTGGCTGAACTCTGCCTGTTCCTCCATCCATGCCTGATCTGCCTGGTGGAATTGCAAGACCTCCTCAGCACCACATCTGCATTCTCACCAGTCATGCCCCTCGCCCGGTGGGAGCCCAAGGGGTAGGTGTGCATGGGGGACTTGGGAAGAGGCTCCTCATGCACCTGCCTCAGTTACCCCACAAATGCTTATTGAGAGCCTATTATGTACCAGACACTGTCCCAGGGATTGAAGCTGCAGCAGAGAACATGTACAGGTCCCTGTGTTTGTGGAGCCTGTCACACTCAAGATGGTGTAGGTATAAGATGATCTTACCTAACATTGGGGTGAAGCAGATGGCATCACAAGATTCCTGGCAGTTCAACTGTGACATTGTAGACTGGGAACTCCTGGAATTTGGAGGTCCTTCTTAGCCTCATTTACCTCCAAATCTCCTTTATCCATTGGCACATAGTAGTGACTTGGCGTGTGTTAGTTAGCTAAATGCATGGATGGATAGGTGACCAAAGAACGGACACATCAGCTGGGCGTGGTGGCTCATGCCTGTAATTCTAGCACTTTGGGAGGCTGAGGCATGTGGATTGCTTGAATCTAAGAGTTCAAGACCAGCCTGAGCAACATGGAAAACTCTGTCTCTACAAAGAGTACAAAACCTGGCTGGGCATAGTGTCACGTGCCTGTAGTCCCAGCTACTTGGGAGGCTGAGGTGGGAGGATCACCTGAGTCCAGGAGGTCAAGGCTGCAGTGAGCTGTGATTGCACCACTGCATTCTAGCCTGGGTGCCAGAGTGAGACCCTGTCTCAAAAAAAAAGAAAAAGAAAAAATAAAGGACACATCTTTTTAGACAGCTGGGTTCTTTCAGTTTCAAAATAGTATCTTGGAATGATGTGATACACTATCTGGGATGTCCTTCAGCTTCACTGGTGGGTGTAGTGGAGGTGGGGGTGTTGGGTACAGGTACCAAGTGAGGATGGAGATGAACCATGAGTGGCTATGAGGTGACCTAACAGTGGCAGGAGGATGATGGGTTGCTGTCATCTACTTTTGTACATGATTGGAAATTTTCACAGTAAGAAGCTTTAAAGGAATCATTTGAAAAATACTCTTTTGTGGGTAAGACGTTGGGATACTAGTTGGCAAGAAGGCTATGACTTTGGGTTTCTGTGGGTCAGTCCATGGGAGGAGGGAGGTCTGGGATTCAGAGGAGGTGGCCAGTGGATGGGAGTTTGGGGCAGGGGCCACCAGTTTCTCGAAGAACTTCAATTAGGATGTGTGGCAGGTGTGGTCTTGACAGGATGTGGTAAGGTGAATGTGGAGGAATTCAGCCTTTAGCCTGGCTGGCCCCTGAGGTGGAAGGGGGGTGCAGGTGGGGTGTAGACTTCTCGTCCTGCTTCCCTCCCCACAAGCACCCAGGTTGATTACCTCAGACCTGGTTGTGGGCCGCAGGTGTCAGCTTTGAAGGCTTTTACTCATTTGCATGTTCATGCCCCGCCCATTGAGGATGAAGGTGGCCTCAGGTAGAACAGGTGATGTCCAAGAGGGTTCGGAGTCTGTCTGGGATGCTCAGTGGCTTGTGGGAAATGGACCACAGCCATTTTGAACAGAGTGGGACTTTTTCTTTTTTCTTTTTTGAGACAGAGTCTTGCTCTGTCACCCAGGCTGGAGTGCAGTGACTTGATATTGGCTTACTGCAACCTCCACCTCCTAGATTCAAGTGATTCTTGTGCCTCAGGCTCCTGAGTAACAGGAATTACAGGCACCCACTACCATACCCAGCTAATTTTTTGTATGTTTTTGTAGAGACAGGGGTTTCACCATGTTGGCCAGTCTTGAACTCCTGGCCTCAAGTGAAACCCAAAGTGCTGGGGTTACAAGTGTGAGCCACCACTTCTGGCCTGGGGTTTGATCTTTTCTAAATTTGTGCCCAAAGCCATTTTTCTACCAGCCATACAAATGAGACATGGTCATGGTGTGAGACTCTGGGAGGGAGCCAAATGGCACGTTCCTGCTAGACAGCCAGCTAAATAGGACTGTCCAGGGAGGGAGCGTTCCAGGTTAGGCTGGCTTTGAGCCACAGCATTCACAGCTTCTTCTCCCCACAGCTTTGGTTTGTCTACTTCGACCTGGAGAACTGTGTGCAGTTTTTGTCTGATCATGTTCAAGAAATGAAGACTAGCCAAGAGGTAAGATATCTTCAGTGAAAAAACCAAACAAACCCAAACCCAGAAGGCCAAGTTGTATCGATTCCATTCTCTTAAAGGTAGGAAAATGTCTAAGAAAATGTTACTTGGAAGAATACCTGTGAACAATCAATCAGGGGTTGTTTTTGCCTTGGGAATTATGACTACTTTTCTGCTTTTTTTTTTTTTTTTTTTTAGAAAGGGTCTCCCTCTTTCACCCGGGCTGGAGTGCAGTGGCACGATCTCAGCTCACTGCAGCCTCTGCCTCCCGAGTTCAAGCAGTTCTCCCTCAGCTTCCTGAGCAGCTGGGATTATAGGTGCCCACCATGATGCCAGGCTAATTTTTGTATTTTTGTAGAGACGGGATTTCACCATGTTGGCCAGGCTAGTCTCGAACTCCCGACCTCAGGTGATCCTCCCCGCTTAGCCTCCCAAAGTGCTGGGATTACAGGTGTGAGCCACTGCACCCAGCCTTCTGACTCTTTTTAACTCATTGTTTCTTCCATATTTCCTGTGGTGAACGTATTTCTTTACAATAATACTATTAATAATAAATTTTGGTGGATCTCGAAGTTTCATGTATTGAGGCAACTTTTACTTGTTCACAGTGCCTTTCTATCATTTATTAAGAACATCAGAGGGATCTCGCTCTGCTTCTCCAGAGGAGGAAACAGGCTCTGGCATGACCTGTTACCTGCCTGTGGTCATGGAGCTGGCTGGTGATGCCCAGGTTTGGAGGCCAGGCCTCCTGTCTCTGAGCCCTGGGCTCCTTCTCTAGGATCAGCCTTTTCTGAGTTCTGGCTGCAGTGGATCTTGAAGTCAGGGTTGTGACTTAGCCCTGAATCTGGCTCATTAGTTCCTGTGTGGCCTCGAGCAAGGCCTTTGAGTCTCAGTTTATTCATTTGCAACATCTGGATAAAGATACCCACATCCCAGGCTACTTTGAGCAAGTGAGAACACGAAAGGAAAAATATTTGTTTGTTTGTTTTGAGGCAGAGTCTGGCTCTGTCACCCAGGATGGAGTGCAGTGGCGCCATCTTGGCTCACGGCAACCCCTGCCTCGCAGGTTCAAGTGATTCTCCTGCCTCAGCCTCCCGAGTAGCTGGGACTACAGGCACACGCCACCATGCCCGGCTAATTTTTGTATTTTTAGTAGAGACAGGGTTTCACCACTTTGGCCAGGCTGGTTTTGAACTCCTAGCTTCAAGTGATCCACCTGCCTCAGTCTCCAAGAGTGCTGGGATTACAGGCTCGAGCCACCCTGCTTGGCCAAAAAAGGAAAAATATTTAGAAGCTAATAATGACCATCTGTAGGGAATTACATAATACCACCAATGTGACCAGCTTTTTCTGAGGTCATCATCTGAGTCTGAGACCTCATCCTCTGCTGGGTCTGCAGCTCGTGGAGGGACTGTCCCGCAGACACCACCCAGTTTAAGCACTCCTGAGCCCCATCTCTGTTTCCTTTGCAGTCCTTGCTGAGAAGCAGATTGAGCCAGTTGTGTGTTGTCATGGAGACTGGGGTGAGCCCTGCAACAGCGGAGGGGCCTGAGAACTTGGAGGATGCTCCTCTCTTGCCCGACAGTTCTCGTCCTATGGAGAGGCCACTCATGCAGACTGAGCTTCACCAGCTCGTTCCCGAGGCTGAGCCAGAGGTAACGGGCACTAGGGCTAGTCACGGCCATCCTCCCTTGGGGGAGTTTGTGTAGAGAAAGTCTATGTGGGGGCTTCCTAGATTCCCAGGGACATGGCTTCTCTCAGTTGGAAGACACCATACAAATCTAGCTCAGGAGTTCTCAGTCTTTTTATTCTTCACCCTAGCGCTTAAAAAAAATAGTTAAGAGGAAGCATTTTTTATTTATTGGGACTTTTTGTTGCATTATTTACTATCTTGGATATTCTTTTTGATGGTTGCATTGGATGGGTAGTTGCATGTTGATAGATTATAGCTTACTTCACCATGAACATATTGACAAATATTTGGGTCTTAATTAATAAATTTTTATTCATCTATCCAACCGTTCATCCATCTACTTTAATTGCAGTTAGTTAGTTGATTCCTCTTTGCATTTTTTTTTTTTTTTTTTTTTTTTGAGACATGGTCTTACTCCTGTCACCTAGGCTGGGGTGCAGTGGTATGATCACTGCTCACTGTGGCCTCAACTTCCCAGGCTTAAGCAATCCTCTCACCTTGGCCTCCTGAGTAGTTGGGACTATGTGCATGGGCCACCATGCCTGGCTAATTTTTTTGTATTTTTATTAGAGGTAGGGTTTTGCCATGTTGCCCAGGCTGGTCTCCAGCTCCTGGGTTCAAGAGATCTACCCACCTCGACCTCCTACTTCTTTGCATTTCTGTTGAATTCCAATTCTGTCAGCCCCAGAGTTCTGTTGGGTCCTGCCATCCATACTGCCTCTTGGCTATGGCTAAGCACGGGTAGACCAGAAATCTGAAAATGTGGTTTGCAGCTTGTGCTACCTCCTTCTCACAGGGACAGACCCACTGTCAGGGAGACAAGCAGTGATGGTGACCTCAGGTGACCTTTGAGACTTCAGAAGAGCACCTACATCTTTTCAGCCAAGAGGTTTGGGGATTCAAGGTCCAAACCAGCCTAGGCTTTCTCTTTTGTACTGGGGGGAGTAGAAATCCTACGAGTAGTACTATTTAGAGAAAGTGATAGGCCAGTGCAGTGTTTCAACAGAGCAAGACTCTGTCTCAAAAAAAAATTATCTTTTTATGTTAATTTTTAAATTTTATTTAGACAGGGTTTCACCATGTTGCCAATGTTTGTCTTGAACTCCTAAGCTCAAGTTCAGCCTCCTGAAGTGCTAGGATCACAGGTGTGAGTCACTGTGCCCTGCCAAAATATTAAAAAAAAAAACAATAAAAGAGAAAATGATAAATGTATTAATCTCTTCACTTTATCCTATTGGCTTTTTTTTTTTTTTAAAGAGAAAAGATTGATAAGGTTATGTACTTTCTTGCAACATGCATGTGTGGATTTTTGTGCAATAACCCATTAAATATGGGTCTTTTAAATGATTTTTTTTCAAATTTATTCAAACCAATAGTAATACAATTTCTTGTCATGAATATCAAGTGTGTGTGCACATGTTTTTAAAGTCGCTGCCTTTATAATTTAGTTAGGGAAAATATAATTGATGCCCAAGTCTCAGCCTGGGCTAGATGATCATATTTCAGTAGGAACCCAGTGTCTGTAAAAGATGGAAAGATAGTGATAATGACCTCTTACATTTTTTTTTTTTTTTTTTTTTTTTTTTGAGACGGAGTCTTGCTCTTGTTACCCAGGCTGGAGTGCAATGGCGCGACCTCGGCTCACCGCAACCTCCGCCTCTTGGGTTCAGGCAATTCTCCTGCCTCAGCCTCCTGAGTAGCTGGGATTACAGGCACGCACCACCATGCCCAGCTAATTTTTTGTATTTTTAGTAGAGACGGGGTTTCACCATGTTGACCAGGATGGTCTCGATCTCTCGACCTCGTGATCCACTTGCCTCGGCCTCCCAAAGTGCTGGGATTACAGGCGTGAGCCACCGCGCCCGGCCGACCTCTTACATTTTAACAGATTTTTCTCGTGCATAAAATTCATTAGCATTCTCTTCAAGGTATGAATTATTTTTCTTTCTTCCTTGATGGGTGAAATACGGTTCCAAGAGGTCAGTTGACTTTCCCAAGGCCGCCAGAAAGGGAGAGGGTAGTAAGCCAAGGGCCGAAGCCAGCCCTGCTGATGCTAAGTAGGCCAATGTTCTTGCTACTGCTCTTTGCTTCTTATGTTACTGATTTTAGAGTAAACTGGCAAGAAGACCAATCTGAGTTAGGGTGTGGTAAACTATTTGAAGTGTTTTATATTTTCTAGCACAACGGATAACTTGAAACAAATGCTAATCTTATGTTGGAAAGATATTGATGCCATGCGTGGAGCACCAGGCGCTGGCTCAATGCTGTTTGTCTGTTAGGCTCTTTAATCCTCACTCTGACTTCATGGGGTCAGTGCCACTATTTTCCCCATTCTCCCAATGAAGAAACGAGCTCAACGACGTGAAGCGACTGCTCTGGGTTAATCACAGAGTGACTGAGCTGAAATTCCCTCTCGGCCTTTTTGACTTTAAAGCCTGTCCCTAATTACTAACTTTATAGACATAACTAGCATTGATGTAACCCACACCTTATTTCATTACATTCAGAGTGGACGCAAGTCATGTGAGAGACCTTCAACACCATGCTTACGGAATTTAAGCATTTCCCCTGAGATCCCATCTTCTAGACTGGTCAATGGATCTTTACGGCTCTTTAAATGTGTTAATAAGAATGTGCATTAAGGCCTAGTGCAGTGGCTCACAGCTGTAATCCCAGCACTGTAGGAGGCCAAGGCAGGAGCCTAGGAGTTCAAGACCAGCCTGGGGAACATAGTAAGGACATAGTAAGATCCCGTGTCCTTTTTTGTTTTTGAAACAGAGTTTCCCTCCTTTTGCCCAGGCTGGAGTGCAATGGCACGATCTCAGCTCACGGCAACCTCTGCCTTCGGGTTCGAGTGATTCTCCTGTCTGAGCCTCCCGAGTAGCTGGGATTACAGGCAACTGTCAGCATGCCCGGCTAATTTTTTTGTATTTTTAGTGGAGACGGGGTTTCACCATGTTGGCCGGGCTGGTCTTGAACTCTGAGCTCAGGCGATCTGCCCGCCTCGGCCTCCCAAAGTGCTGGGATTTCAGGCGTGAGCCACTGTACCTGGCTTAAGATACGTGTCTTTAAAAAAGAAAAAAGAAGTATATTTTTTTCAATTAAATTTTTTAATCCTTTTTTTCTTCACTTAAATTTTTTTGTGTGGCAAATATGCATAATATAAAATTTACCATCGTAACCATTTTAAGTATATGGTTCAGCAACATTGGGTACATTCTTGCTGTTACACAACTGTCACCACCATCCATCTGCAGAATATTTTCATCTTCCCAAATCAAACTCTGTGCCCATTAAACACTAACTTCCCCTTCCTTCCTTTCTCCCTCCCCTCAACCCCTAGAAACCACAGTTTTACCTTCTCTCCCTGTGAGTTGATTACTCTAGGTGCCTTGTATTAGTGGCATCATACAGTATTTGTCGTTTTGTGATAAAACTAAATTTTATAAGCAATCTCTTTTTTCCCTTTTTTATGTTTTTCTTTCTTTTTTTTTTTTTAAATTTTACTGTCAGTGATCATATTTAAATATAAGCAGTCTCTTTTAATGTGTTAGGAGTACTTGTGTTAAGAAATCTACCAGGTACCTTGTATGAATTAAAGGATTCTGTAATCATGGTCTATTTCTCTCCCCACCTCCATTATTTAGTAATTTTCTTCAGGTGAGTCACTTGGAACACAGACTCATAGACATTTGAAAGTAGAAAAAAGAATGTATTTGTGGCTGGCTAGGTTGACTTTCTTTTTATGTTTTTAAAATATATTTTTAATTTGAATTTTATTTTTGTAGAGACAGAGTCTCTCTCTGTTGCCCAGGCTGCTCTTACACTCCTGACCTCAGGTGACCTTCCTGCCTCAGCCTCCCAAAGTGCTGGGATTACAGGTGTGAACCACCATGCCTGGCCAGCTCGGCTTAAAAACTTAGGTAATTAGAATTAGGTAATTTCTCTAGCGCTTTGAGCTTGCATATCTTTTTTGTGAGTATTGTTATTGCCATTCAGCAGTTAGTTACCCACCTTGGCAGTGAGGGCACTGAGGCTGCAGGAGCCCCACAGCCCGTGGGTTGCAGAACTGGACGTCTAGACCAGGCTGGCGTCTTCTGAGAGCCCCAGGTGCTGGCCTGGCCTGGTTCTTCCTAGTGAACATCACTCCTCATTCCAGGGGCAAGAAGGCAGTGTGGCTTTTCCCCAGTGCCTAAGCCCTTTTCCCTCAAGGGCTTCCCCTGGGGTATTCAATCTGCTTCCCTGCCTTTTCTAGGAAATGGCCCGCCAGCTGCTGGCAGTGTTTGGTGGCTACTATATCCGGCTTCTAGTGACCTCCCAGCTCCCTCAGGCAATGGGGACACGACACACGAACTCTCCAAGAATTCCATGCCCCTGCCAGCTCATAGAAGCCTACATCCTGGGCACAGGGTGCTGCCCGTTCCTGGCCAGGTGACCTAGGAATGAAGGTACTCATCTTCCTCCAAGACTGAGCAGTCGGGAAAGCTTCAGGAGCCCGAGATGGGCAATGGGGAGTCCCAGGTGAGGAGAGAAGTATCTGGGGGCACTCCAAAATGGGTCTGACCTGTCAGCAACTGGGGTGTTGTGCTCATTCCGGGACCCAGCACAGAAATCCTTTTTTGACATCTCATGCTGACCCCTGGCCTTTGCAGAAGCTGACAGCTACAGAGCTAGTCCCACCAAAGCTACTGTCTCTGCTGCTTAGAACTGTGGACATGTATGGAAGGACTGGTCCCCCATCCCTTTCATTGTCCAGAGAGCCCAGGAGATGTGAAGATGACCAGACTGGGTGAATCATGTGTCCAAAACTTGGCCTCAGATAATGTTTCCATCTCCAACCCCTCCATGCCAGATGGGGAAACTGATGCTCAGTGAGGATACTACTCTATGTGGCATTGCCTTGAATCCTTAAAATGATCAGACTGCCTCTTTCCAATATGAAGAAAAAAAAGTAAGTTTTCAGAATTCTCTCCATTTTTTAAGTTTTTCTCTCCCATATTTTGTGAAAAACAGTGGAACAGGTACATGTTGTCTATCAGTACACAAGCTACAGAAGACAGAGACGGAAGACAGAGGTCAAGGACAGATAACTCTTGACAGGAGTATTTGGGAAAGATTGATCCTGTTTCACTTGAGAACTTACTTTGTTCACAGGTACGCACGCTTGTGGTTGTGGTTTTATGTTACAGATGTAGAAGAACAGTTCTGTTTCCCGACACGAATGTTGTCCTGGAATGAAGTGGGATCAGTCACTTGTGGAATTCTGTGAAGAGCTCAGAGGCTTCCAAGTGATCTGCTCCTGAACAAGTCTGAAGACCTATTGTTTCACAGACCCAAGTCCAAATGCCCTGACCTGGCATCTGAAGGATCCCCAGCCGCTAAGACCTTGCCTTCGTGTGCGATTTTGCCTCATCTCCCACAAAACCCCTTTATGAGTTGAAGCTCTTTCCTAGACTGACATACCTATTCCTTTCTATTTGTTGGACTCCTAGTCGTGCTTCAAAGTCCAGCTTTCTGTAGCCCTTCTTTAGGGAGCCTTCCTACACAGCCAGCCCTGCTGCTGTCTGCCTCCTTTAAATTCTTGATACAGCTGCTGCCTGTTCTGATGTTTTATGGTATTGATTCTGTTTTCCTGTGTACATGCCAGTTTTTCTAGCTGGACTGTAAACTCCTCAAGGACAGAGGCTACACGTTGTACTTTTTGTTTATGACCTGGACTTGCTAGGGAAAAAAACAAAACAGTCCTGTGGATTGATTGCTTTGACATCCTCACAGCAGCTAATGCAAATTGCTGTCCAAGCTCACTTGAACGATAAGATTGCTATGGACCTGGGCTCTGGACCTGATCTGCCCACTTCAAGCTGTGTAATTTTTGGCAAATTGCTTTTTTTGGCTGGTCCTCAGTTTACCTACCTATATAATGGATGGATTGGATGATTCTTTTTTTACATTGAGGCAGAGTCTCACACTGTCACCCAGGCTGGAGTGCAGTGGTGCCATCTTGGCTCACTGCAACCTCTGCTGCCCGGGTTCAAGTGATTCTCTTGCCTCAGCCTCCCAAGTGACTGGGACTACAGGTGCATGCTACCAAGTCTGCTAATTTTTTTGTATTTTTAGTAGAGAAGGGGTTTTACCATGTTGGCCAGGCTGGTCTTGAACTCCTGGCCTCAGGTGATCTGCCCACCTCAGTCTCCCAAAGTGCTGGAATTATAGGCTTGAGCCACTGCGCCCGGCTCTGGATAATTCTTAAGGGCCCTTCTAGGACCAAAGTTCTGGGAGTTTCTAGCTTATTCAGTTCCCTCGTAGCCCTTAGCCCTTATCCACATGCAGAAACATCTGGCAGCCCCACATGGCTGAGTTGACCTGGGTCTAGTATGCCCTTGGATGGAAGACTAGCCTACCTAGCAGGAGACCTGGATTTTTCTTTCTGATCTGCTGCTTCCAAGTTGTGTGACCTTGGCTAAGCCACTTCACCTTTCTGACTGTCACTTCACTTTTTAATAAAGTGTATCTGGTGAACAAGAAACGTTATTAAAGCACATGACTCACCATTCAAGAGATGGGTCTGACCATTCACTTTCTCTGTGCCAGAGAAGAGAGATCATGAGTGTGGACCAGCCCCTGGACAGGCAACTTTAGTCAAGGCTGAGAGCAGCTTTGCCCGAGGAAGTTATTCATGAAGGTGACCACTGTCTTTCTGACCTGGCACAGAGGAAATGTTGGCTGTGAATATGACCAATAGAAAACCTGTATTTCTCATTCAGTCCTAGAACCCTGGTAAGTATAATAACAGAGAATAAAAAAGTGTTTGTTAAATGAAAAAGCAGCAGTTTTTTCAATTTTAAGGTTTACTTAAACAGCCTTTGATGTGTGTTTCTTTTTCTGTCTTTAGAATTTCTGATGGTCTCACCTGGTGGGTGGGGCATTCAGGGTATGCCCACAATGTATATTTCCCTTGCATCAGTGCCTCAGTTTCCTCATTTATAAAATCCCCATGATCTCTGTCTCACCTACTTTACAGGGTTGCTGTGAAGATCAGATACTACACACAAGAATGCTCATCAGTTTTTAAATTTAATTTAATTTTCTTTAATTTTTTCATAGAGCTAGGGTCTTGTTATGTTGCCCAGCCTAGTCTTGAACTCCTGGTCTCAAGTGATCCTCCCACCTTGGTCTCCTATGGTGCTGGAATTACAGTTGTGAATTACCATGCCCAGCCAGCTCCTAAGTCTGAAGGCTTTGTGTTAATGATACGTGTGGCCATAGTGGAGGCGGTGGATGTCTTCGAGTGGGAGTGAAGGTGATAACTCACTGCATGGATTCTAGAGTTCTGTTTATTCGAATTCAAGTTCTTCCACTTAAGAACAGTGTTCTTCCTCTCGCCGAGTCTCATTTCTCATCTGTAGGATGAGGATAAGAGCACTTAACCTGGCAGGTTGTTGTGAGGATTAAATGATGTGAAAAAATGTCAAGTGCTTGCAACTTTGAATTCCAAACCTGAGTGAGAGCTCACTAAGTTGTTGCTTAAAAACAAATTCTGTCTTGTAAATAGTAGACACCCGATGTATATCTTTGTTGATGTAACAGGTCATTAACAGTTAAGGTTTTTCAGTCTGCATCAGATTTCAGCTATTTCAGTGCCAGACCTGGATATATTTATGTGAATAAAGATTTTAGTCAAATCTCTGGAATTCAGCATGCAGAGATAATATAGCAAGGGGATAAAGAGCAAGCTGGTGACTTTGGCAAGATATTTATTCTTTTTATACTTCTTATACCTAATTTCTCATCTATTAAGGGGTGTGTGTGATAATAAGGGGGGGCTAATGGAAGTGACTGAAGTAAAGCACAAAGCCTGGTCAACAGTAAGGGCTCAGTCAGTGGGGGTGTTTCTTCTGCAGCTGCTGGCTGGTATTGGCTTCTTGTTCATGTTATCCTATGTTATCTTATAGTTTGGCGTTTATACATTTAGGTCTGTGATTCATTTTGAGTTAGTTTTTGTGAGGGATAGAAGGTCTCTATCCAGTTTATTGTTTTTGGCATATTTGTTCCAGCATCATTTGTTGAAAAGACTCTCTTTGCTGCATTGTATTGCCTTTACTTTTTTTTTTTTTTTTTTTTCAAGGATAAGTTGACTCTACTTTTGTGGGTCTGTTTCTGGGCTCTCTCTTCATTCCATTGATCTGTGTATTTGTTCTTTCCTGATAACACACTGTCTTGATTACTGTAGCTTTACAGTAAGGCTTGAAATTGGGTAGTGTGAGTCCTCCAACTTTGTTCTTCTCTCTTAATGTTGAGTTGGCTATTGGATGTCTTATGCCTTTCATTTAAACTTTAGAACCGGTTTGTCAATATCTACAAAATAACTCACTGTTTATTTTGATTGGGATTGCATTGAATCCACAGATCAAGTTGCAAGAACCGACATTTTCACAATATTGATTTCTGTCCGCAAACATAGAATCTGTCCTCATTTATTTAGTTGTTCTTTGATTTCTTTCATCAGTTCTGTAGGGTTTTTTCCTTTTCCTACAGTTTTTTTTGGGTAGTTTTTCATATTTTGTTAGATTTATACCTAAATATCTTATTTTTGGGGGCGCTAATATAAATTATATTGTGTATTGGTTTCAAATTACATTCGTTCATTGCACTTATATGGGAATGTGATTGGCTTTTATCTACTCACATAGTAGCCTGCAGCCTTGCTATAATTTCTTATTAGTTGTAGGAGTTTCTCTGTTGATTTTTTTGTTGTTGTTGATGAGACAATCATCTTGCCTATAAACAAAGATAGTTTTATTTCTTTCTTCCTCATGTGTATACTTTTTTTTTTTTTTTGAGACGGAGTTTCACTCTTGTTACCCAGACTGGAGTGCAATGGCGCGATCTCGGCTCACCGCAACCTCCGCCTCCTGGGTTCAGGCAATTCTCCTGCCTCAGCCTCCTGAGTAGCTGGGATTACAGGCACGCACCACCATGCCCAGCTAATTTTTTGTATTTTTAGTAGAGACGGGGTTTCACCATGTTGACCAGGATGGTCTTGATCTTTTGACCTCGTGATCCACCCGCCTCGGCCTCCCAGAGTGCTGGGATTACAGGCTTGAGCCACCGCACCCGGCCAATGTGTATACTTTTTATTTCCTTTTCCTGTCTTATTTCATTGGCTTGAACTTCCAGTATGATGTTGAAGAGTAGTGGTAAGAGGGAACATTCTTGCCTTGTTTGTGATTGTAGTGGGAGTTTCTAGTGTCTCACTATTTTTTTTTTTTTTTTTTTTTGAGACAGAGTCTTGCTCTGTTGCCCAGGCTAGAGTGCAGTGGTATGATCTCAGCTCACTGCTACCTCCATCTCCCTGGTTCAGGTGATTTTCCTGCCTCAGTCTTCTGAGTAGCTGGGATTACAGGCCTGCCCTACCACACCTGGTTAATTTTTTTTTTTTTAATTTTAATTTTATTTTAGTAGAGATGGGATTTCTCTGTGTTGGCCAGTGGCCAGTCTGGTCTCAAACTCCTGACCTCAGGTGACCTGCCCTGCTTGGTCACCGAAAGTGCTGGGATTACAGGCATTAGCCATTATGCCTGGCCTTCACTATTAAATATAATGTTAGCTCTGGGTTTTGGGGTAGTTTTTTTTTTTTCTTTTTGAGACAGGGTCTCACTCTGTCACCCAGGCTGGAGACTGGAGTACAGTGGCATGATCACAGCTTACTGTAGCCTTAATCTCCCAAGCACAAGAAATCCTTCTGGGTAGCTGGGTCTATACCACACCTGCCTAATTTTTTTTTTTTTTTTCAAAATGGAGTCTTACTTTGTCCCCCAGATTGGAGCGGAGTGGCGGGATCTTGGCTCACTGCAACCTCTGCCTCCCAGGCTCAAGTGATTCTCCCACCTCAGCCTCCTGAGTAGCTGGGACCACCAGTGCACACCACCATGCCTGGTTAATTTTAGTAGTTTTGGTAGAGATAGGGTTCTGTCATGTTGCTGTTGCTCAGGCTGGTCTTGAACTTCTGAATTCAGGTGATCCACCTGCCTTGGCCTCCCAAAGTGCTGAGATTACAGGTGTGAGCCACCATGCCTGGTCTGGGCCACCACACTTGGCTGTAATTTTTAAATTTTTTGTAGAGACAGGGTCTCATTATGTTGTCTGGGCTGGTCTTGAACTCCTGGAGCTGATCTTCCCACCTCAGCCTTCCAGAGTGTTGGGATTTCAGGCATAAGCTACGATGCCCAGACCAGATATTCTTATCAAGTTGAGAAAGTTTCCTCTCTATTCCTTCTTTACTGAGAGGAAATTAGCTTTCTTTTGATTAGTCATTGCATAGTACATCTTTGTTCATCCTTTTACTTCCGACCTCTTCACATTCTTATATTTAAGGTTTCATCCTTGTAGGCATGTAAGATTTGCTTTTTTGAAATTCAGTTTTTTCTAAATCAGAATATTAACACACTATGTCTAATGTGTTTACTGATAGATTTGGGTTTGAATGTACCATCTTACTAATAATTCTTTCTATTGGTTTTCTCTTTCTGTGTTCTTTTCTTTTTTCTGTCTTTTTTCCTTCTTTTGGATTAAGGTTGTTTGTTTTGGATAATTTCTCCTTTATTAGCATATGAAGTATACTTTTCTTTTAGGTCTTACCCTAAATTTAACAAGCATCCTTGACTTATTGAAGTGATCACTTCTACCATTTCATGGACAACCCAGCGATTATACAATTATTATTATTATTATTTTATGAAAGAGAAAGGGGGAGAGAGAACAGGAGTCTTGCTCTATTGCCCAGGCTGGAATGCAATCTAAAAAAAGGTATTAAAAACCTCTTTTATGCTGATAATTGTACTTAACAGCGGAGACAGGAAGGAATAAGAATTCTATAAATATTCACTGAGTTTACTTGTTCCATGTCTGAGTTCAAATCATAAATGTCCCTGTTAATTTTCTATCTTGTTGATCCATCGAATATTAACAATGTGGTGTCAAAGTCTCCCGCTATTATTGTGTGGGAGTCCAAGTCTCTTTATAAGTCATTAAGAACATAAGTCTTTTGTATGTGGGTGCTCCTATATTAACTCCTGTTGTTACATTGATCCTTTTACCATTATGTAATGTCCTTCTTTGTTTCTTTTAGTCTTTGTTACTATTAAAGTCTATTTTGTCAGAGACGTTACAACTCCTGCTTTTTGTTTTGTTTTTTTTTTTTCCTCTCCATTTGATTGGTGAGTCTTCCTCTAACCTTTGTTTTGAGTCTTTGTGTGTCCTTGCTTATGAGATGGATCTGGATACAGTGTGCTGATGGGTTTTGACTTTTTATTCAATTTGCGTGTCTGTGTCTTTCACTGGGGCATTTAATCCATTTAAATTTAGGATTAATATTGATATTTGTGAGTTTAATATTGTCATTTAATGCTAGCTGACTATTTTTCCCATTAGTTGATATAGATTCTTCATTATGAAGATACTCTTTACCTTTTGGTAAGTTTTTGGGATGACTGATACTGGTTGTTCCTTTCTGTGTGTAATGTTTCTTTCAGAAGCTCTTGTAAAGCAGGCCTGGTGGTGATGAAACCTCTGAGTGCTTGCTTGTTCGTGAAAACTTTTATTTTTCCTTCATTTATGAAGCTTAGTTTGGCTGGATGTGAGATTCTGGGTTGACAATTCTTTTCTTTGAGGATTTTGAATATTGACCCCCACTCTCTTCTAGTTTGTAGGGCTTCTGCTGAGAGATCTGCTGTGAGTCTGATAGGCTTCCCTTTATGGGTAACCTGACCTTTCTCTGTAGCTGTCCTTAGAATTTTCTCCTTTATTTCAACTCTGGTGAATCTAATGATTATGTGTCTTGGGGTTGCTCTTCTTGAGGAATATCTTTGTGGTGTTCTCTGTATTACCTGGAGTTGAGTATTGTCCTGCCTTACTAGGTTAGGAAAGTTTTCCTGAATAATATCCTGAAGAATATTTTCCAGCTTGGATTCATTCTCTTCATGACATTCAGGTACACCTGTCAAACATAAATTAGGTCTTTTCACATAGTCCCATATTTCTTGGAGACTTTGCTCATTCCTTTTTACTTTTTCTTCTCTAATCTTGTCTTCTCGTTTCATTTCATTAAGTTGATCTTCGACCTCTGATATCCTTTCTTCTGCTTGATCAATTCGAGTGTTAAAACCTATGCATACTTCGTGGCGTTCTCATATTGTATTCTTCAGTTCCATTAATTCACTTATATTCCTCTCTAAATTGTCTATTCTCATTAGGATTTCGTCAAACCTTTTTTCAAGGTTCTTAGTTTCTTTACATTGGGCCAGAACATGTTCTTTTAACTCACAGAAGTTTCTTATCCACCTTCCGAAGCCTAATTCTGTTATTGGAACACACTCATTCTCCAACAGGCCTTGCTCCCTTGTTGATGAGGAACTGTGATCCCCTGTAGAGGGAGAGGCATTCTGATTTTGAGTATTCTCAGCCTTTTTACACTGGTTTCTTCCCGTCGTTGTAAATTTATCCACCTGTCATCTTTGTAATTACCGACTTTCA